GAGAAAATGAATCTGAACAGATACCGTAAAAAAATACGGGATGGTTTTTTTCCTAAAAAGCTATTGTTTTCAATTTGTAGGATAGTAACTAACATTTTAGTGATTTTTATTGCTCTTTTGTATCTCACACTTCTTTGACTCTCAAAAAAACCACAGGAGAGCTAAGTTAAATTTCACTAAACAATCCAAGAATACATTTCCAAGAGACCTGGACCACAGTGACCAGTTTCTTCTGGCAGAAAACAGCCTGATGAAACAGATACAAGACCGAAGCAAGTTAAAGACGTGTAAATACTAGGAACTTTCAGGGAAGGAGTCACTACTGTCTTTGTAAGTAAAGCAAATAAAAGAACAGGAGCAAAAATTAATGTCTCTTCTACAATGAAGTGTGCTAGTTACGTTTTGTTCTTGGCATCCATGTTTTCCTCTGAAGACTGATAACACTAGGTAGCAGAAACACAGCTCAGTATTCTTATACTAGTTCTGTAATTAACTTCAATACGAAAACTTCCAACTAGAAAGCAAAGCAGTCAAGAACCAAGTACAACCACTGCCAGCTTGGTTCCAATTTCAATGAGTATACTCAGACCGAAAAGCCCTGTCTTACCTTTGAGGCATTAATGACAATATTTCTAGCAGATCCATGCTCATCTCCAGAGAAGGCAGGTTGATTACTGAAGCCTTGCTTTACATTCACTGCAGTAAGTTCATCCTGCAAAGAGTGTTTTAAGGGAAAAAAATGAAATGACAATTTAAGAAGTCACATCATTCTGAGAAGCATGTTTTTATAAAGAAAATTTAGGTATTTGCTAGCATGTCACACTCTGCATTCACCTGAACTCTCAAAGCACTTTGCACATTCATGGGATTTCAGTGAAGGGGAACACAATGCCACTCCTCCAGTCCCCATTAAGTGTTTGCCTTACTACAGACTTCAAGGCCGTAACTCGATAAGGATGCCACTTGTTTTGCTGAAAGAGGACTGCTGCCCATGAGAAAGGCAGCAGGAAACAAGGCCTTGGCAGCCTTCATAAAACCCGGAGTGCTGCCCAGCACCCAGCCCTAAATCTTCCTGGTGAAAGTGGTGGCAGTCGCCAGCCATCCTGACCAGCAGAGGGAGAGCAGCACACCCTCCTCTCCTCAAGATACACTGGGATCGCTGGAACCAGCTGCATCGCTCCACAACAGAATGCTGCTGCGTAACACCCCTCGTTACCACCAGAACCCTACGTGTCCCTTTCCCCAGCACAAAAAAGTTTCTGCATCATTGTTTTGTTAAAGTTTAAAATGTTACAATTTGCAGCCTCACAACCACCATTTGAGAATCTCTACCAAAATAAGAAACAGACCACCTCTAGCAGAAACAATTTCAAGTAAACATCTGTCCCTGTTCCCGCTTCTTCTGGAGTTACTTTCGCAGTGGAAGTATTACTAGTCTCCTGCTACACTATTAACACACCTTCATTTTGCTGCGTATCGGTATTTAAGCAGGCTTAGCTGGATCATATTCGCAGCAAGAACACAGAACAGACAGAAGTGGGGTCAGTAGCATTAGGTGCAAACACATACCCGAGGCTTCATAAATGCAGAATGCAACTTCCTAAGCAAGCCCCATCCTTCCCTATCTTCACCAAAGTTAACATTCTTCC